CAATATTAAACGTTTGTGTGTCTGTGGTCATAAGCAATAACCGCCTAAGTCGAAAAACCAGAATTCGAGAAAAAAACGTTTTAAACATTTGGATTGTATGTAATGTTAACTTTATGGGGAAACCGAAAATTTGTTCGTCTATAACTTTTTAAATAGCCCAGCTGGCGAGATGTGGGGATTTCACATAAGCATGGAATAGTAGTTGCAGAATACGATAGCATATATAACTCAATTCTTTCCTAAGTCGACTTTGGCGGTTATTGTTTGTGACCACAGATGTATGTATAATAATTTCTTAGGATCTAATTACAATCGGGCAGGATCTGAATTCACTTCCGAGTTGAATTCCAACCAAAGCCACTTTGAATTCAAAATAAATGGGGTTCAAATTCACTCGGAAGTAAACTGCAGAACCTGCCTGAATACAATACTTTTTTATAACAAGCAAAACTAATTTTTTAATGTACTTTTGTATAATCTTTTTTCCTACTAAAGGGAATGTTTTTTTTTTTGTCAAAATTGAGCACAATTGTCAGGAATGTTTGAGTAAGGGGCGCGGACGACGCATGCTTTTTATTTAACCATACTTTGATATTATGTATTTTTTTAATACTTTTCCTTGTTTGATTTACTAAATGACTTTGTTGTTTAAGGCATTATTTTAGTAACAAGAAAAAAATACTTGTGATTAAGTACGAAAACCGAAAGTGTATTGTTTGATGATTTAAGTTAAACAGTGAGGTTATGTTTTCATTCCTAACATTTTTTCGGTAAAAAAGCAATTTTTAATAATCGTCCGCTTAAGGCAATTCAATTTTGAACTTTATTTTTCCGCGTGCTAAGTTCTACAAATTAATATCTAATTTAATTTTTGTTTTCCGATTTAAAGCTTGCTTCATGCATACATAGCTGTGTTTGTAGTTTCTATATTTTTTTATTTTGAAATAGTTGAATTGAAAACCTGTAGTAGCTGCCTTTTGGGCATTTCGTTTTGAAGATAAACTAATTTGCCGTTTACAACAAAATTGTAAACACATATGGTATGTATACTTATCTTTCTGAGTAAATCCATTATTATCCGACTTTTTAAAGACTCTTATGTAAATTTTCATTATTGAACAAAAAACACATGCCCAAAACTCCACACGGAATCAGCTTAAAAATAATTCAAAAACGAAAATAAAAACGGGAGGTATACGTTTTTAACTATAATAATAAGGTATTTAAATAAATGCAATATGCTACGAAAGTAATACTTGAAAATTTCAAGAATTAAGTAGTTGCCGAAATGTTACCGCCTTTTTATATACAATGAATTAGCACCGAAATTCATAAGGCGCAAACAATATCAGTTTGAGTTTCGATGCTAATTCATTGACCACAGATGTATGTGTATTCGAATTGGAGTGGAATTTTCTTTATATGTATGTATGCCGTGCATGGGTGTTTGTAAGGAAGTTATGAAGCGCGTCGCTAACTAAATTATATTTTACTTGCGTATATTCGATTTTCATTTGTCGGTTTTCCCTTCTTTTTTCACTGTACTTTTCTTCAATGCTGTCTTGTGTTCCGCATCAGAGGTACCAATAGCGAGGGTGGGCCAGCCTGCCGCAAGAATGGATGTACCAATAGTTCAGCTGCTGTTGCACGCTGCGCCGGATCACGCACCAGCATACGATCCAAGAACGATTGCAGCCTTGGTGAAACTTTATGTGCATTCTTTAAATTTGGCGGCTGCATATCGCGTATGCGACGCATCGCTTGTAGTGGCGGTTCGTTGAAGAAAGGCGGCTCACCGTCCACCATCTCGATAACCATGATACCAAGTGACCAGATATCTACTTCGGGACCGTATGGCAAACGCGATATTACCTCAGGTGACATCCAATACGGCGTGCCAACAAGCGATTTGCGCTTTGGCAACTCCTGAGAGACCTGCGCACAAAAGCCGAAATCTGAGAGCTTAACACGCCCATCGGCGGCTAGTAGAATGGAATCAGATTTGATGTCGCGATGAATGACGCCCTGAGGATGAAGACAAATATTGGTTGAAAAGAGCTTGTCTCAGTTATAGTATATGTATATAAAAAAATTATGAATGCGATTTGAGATTTTTTCTTAGCACTCCCTAGATTTGAAATTCAATCACTGACAACGCCCAAATCGGACTGGATGTGAGTAAGCATAATATAAGCGAAAGTGAAAACTCACAAAAGGTAATAAATTAAAGCGTAGAAATCGCTAGCATTCTAAACTCTGACTCATCGCCCATGCTGTGCACGTACTACCTACCAACGAACGTGTTCAAACATACCTGCGAATGCAAATAGGCCAATGCTTTGAGACATTGCTTGCACACTGTGGCGATTTGTTCCTCATCCATACGTGAATGTGTGACGATGTCGGTGAGTGCACCGCCTTCCAGATACTCCATAACCACCCAGAGTTCATCGTTAACCAAGAAACTGGAGTAAGTTTCCACAATGTTAGGGTGGTGATAGTCGCGCATGATAACCACTTCGTTGAAGAGCAATTCACGTCGTTGCTGCTTACGTAAATCCATTTTTTTAACAGCCACTTGACGACCTGTACGGGATTAAACCATAAAAAAATGTGTAAAACGGGTTAAATGCTCGGAATATCTCATTAAAATACCTGTTGACTTGTCAGTGGCTATGCATACAGTGCCGGTTGAGCCTTCACCTATTTTCATGAAGTTGTCTAAATTTTCACGTGGATCTCCAGCCGAAACAACCATTTGCAAAGCTGCGCGGAACTAAAATACAGTTTTTTTTTGGAAATAAACCATATCGTATACAATTTATCAGGGCTATCACAGAAGCCATCGCATTTTCGTAGATTTTACGAAAATCGTACTACGATGAATTTAGTGATAATCCCGTATATCCTTTTCTCCCACTCACCTGTTCGTGTGTCAGCCGTTGCTCCTGCTTGGGTGGTGGCACGCCTACACCTCCCGCCCCGCCAGCGCTTCCACCAACACCACTGGCGCCACCGCTTGAGCTTGATGCTCTTGACGCTGATTTCGCATGCAAATGTGTATGCGGATGGTGAGGATTCTGATTTTGATCTCCACCGGTGCCCAAATTCTTTGCTACATGTTGTGCAGGTTGCAAAGCTCCCGGTTGATATGGCGTAAAGCCGCTTACACCGTTATTGTTGTTTAAATTACTGCTATGTGGGTGCGTGTGCGCCGAGGAAGCGTGCGAATGCGTGGAACGCGTCCCGCTTGCCACTGAACCTACTGGTGACGACTGTTGCTGCTGACCACTGGCAATTAAATGGTGCGGTGGTGGTGCCGGCCGGTAGTGCAGAGCACCATGCACTGAAGTGCCGCCGTGTGGTGGTAGTGGCTGTACAGGCGGATGTTGTTGCTGGCCGGGTGTGAAATCCGTACGCACAGCAAGTGGTCCATGACCACCGCCATTCTGCGCACTATGGTGCGTGGCATTTTGGCTGGAATATATGCCGTGCGTTGACTGTTGCGGGTAAGTTGCTGGACCACTCTGTGCTACATTGCTGCCAATACTGGTGGCACTAGTGACCCCGCTACCTACAGCTGAAAGTTTATAGCCACTGAATGGTGGTGTTTGACCAGGCACGGGTGTGGGCGCTGCCGTCGATGCGCTTTCTTCTGGTACGGAAGGAGGCACGTTGGCATTACCACGCAAATCTCGACGTACCCGCGGTGGACTTGAGCTGCGCAATGAATTCGAGCGGGCTACGTGTGACGTTTTCGGCAACACAATTCCACCTGTATTGGGGCCAATGCCACTTGTTGCCGCGTTAGCTATGATGGAGGCATTGTTGTGTTCTGTAAAGTAATGCGCATGCGCTGTTTGATGGTGTCCCAACGTGGCGCTGGCGTTCGGAGCAATGCTGCTATTTAATGAGGTCGTATCCGCCTTGTTGTTGTTGTGATGTGGCCGCACAATTGTTTTCAAGTCAAGAATTTCGGTTGGAGTTATTTCCGAGGGATCGACTAAAGGTAGCGGCCTATTTGTTGATTTTAGTATTTGATTGTTACCAACTATGGAAGCCCATTGCAGCGGTAAGCCCACATATCGCCCCTCACGTTTGTCGAAACCCGTGTGCACGCGATGCTCAAAATCACTGGGCATAGAAATCAAAGGTTTCTTCTTCTTCTTTGAGAACATTTTGTCGCACTATTTGTAGGTACTTGCGCCGTACTCAATGGCAAAATGTGCTACAAAGAAAGGAGAAAATTCGTGAAATTCCTCCGCGAACGATGTGAATTTCTCGTCGCAGTTTGTTGACTTTATTATTTACCTCCGACCGATGCGCACGCACCGCGCTCTTCTCCAAAAAGCAACAAATTTCTTTTGTTGCACAGCTAAGCTCCACACCCGTTGCTGGTAGTGGCCGTTGGTGCTTGGCTTCCTCCCTTCAACTGCGTTTTATGGCTTGTATTTATTTTCATTTACAAAATAAGGCTTTTTTTGCACTTTCAACTTACACTTTACACTACACACGTTGCAAATTCATTATTTTTCACATTTGCACATATTTTGTAATTAACTAATAAATTTTACAAGGAAAAAAAATAAAATAAACCAAAAGGAATGTCTGAGCGCACTAATTTAATTTTGCATTTTCTCTTTTCGATGGCATTTCTCTCCCTCTGCATTTTTGGCCACCGCCTTTGGACTAATTTTCGTTGCTGGCTGTCAATATGGCGTCTAAGGAGTGCTGGAAAGCGCTATATAAAATTTTCGTTAAATCCCATTTTAGCAAAAATAAACTTTCGAATGCATGTAATTTATATTTCGTTAGTTTTTTCTTTAATAAAATTTAAATTGTTACTTTATTTAAATTATCACACACTCCAAGGCCGGCAGTAGCCTCAAGGTTTCAACGCCGCCATATTTAATTCTTTCAACGGCCCGGGATGTTTTTTTCCCCCAGGGTTGGGACCAAATGCACTACCGGAATCGGTTTAGGACCAAATGCACCGTCTTTGACATATGTCAGTTGCCGGTATTTCTGTCAAACGCACTTGAATTTTTTGCTGAGTCCTCTTTTCCACATTGTCGTTTTATTGCTAATAGTTTTAAGCAAATAACTTATTAAAAAACTAGAAATGTCTACCAATTCCAATTTATCCGTGGCTGTAGTTTGTTCCTCAAATATGAACCGTTCTATGGAAGCGCATAACTTTCTAGCGAAGAAAGGCTACAACGTGCGCTCTTTTGGCACAGGCGAGCGTGTCAAGCTGCCAGGCACGGCAATCGACAAGCCTAATATTTATGAATTTGGCACACCATATGACGCAATATACCAGGATCTGCTCACAAAGGATAAGCAGTAGTAAGTGTGGGCGTTAATCCAAGTCACTGCGGAAAGTGTATTTTTTTTATGGTTACACCTTACCTAATTCTAGTACTTTCTATTACAGCTACACACAAAACGGCTTACTGCATATGCTAGATCGCAATCGAAGGATTAAAAAGTGCCCTGAGCGTTTCCAGGAGTGCAAAGAACAGTTCGATATTATTGTGACGGTGGAGGAGCGAGTCTACGATCAAGTGCTCGAACACATGGAATCATGTGATCCCATCGATAATCGACCTGTACACATATTCAATGTGGACATTGAGGACAATCACGAAGAAGCACTTATGGGCGCTTTTGTTATAACGGACATGATAAATATGGTAATGATCGTCATGATGAAGAGAAACCACAAAATATGCCCAGTTGGACTACTTGTACCAATATTGATGTTAAGCTGTAGTCTGGAGGTGACAGAAGTATATGGGTTAAAGGGTGTGATTGAGAAAGTCTTGGCATACGTTTTCCACGCACCTAAAATTTTAACTAAGTTAAATTATTGGTTGCATAAATATACGGTACACTCCATCCAAAATGAACGTTTTATATTATTTTTTCATTCTCTTTTAGCTGGGCTACAAGATTATTTGCGCGAATGCTGTAAGTAACAATGTAAACGATTTTAGTACTTTGAATGGGTTTGATAACTATAGAGAGAATAGAAAAAAAAGTGAAATTAAATACCTGAAAAAATATGGTTAATTAAAGTAAATTCAAGTTTGTTTGCCTTAGAAGAGGCTCAGTTATATTTGCTTTGCTATAAACTATTCAACAAACAAAATTCTCCGATAACATGCAGTTTTTAATCAAAACCAAGTAGTTTCATATTTGAATTTTTATGAACCTTTCGATAGAGCAAAAAACATTGGATTTTTGTGTTTATGGGAAGTCCCCTACGTATCTAAAAGCAAAAATGTTAAAAAAAAAAGTCAGTAAACATTCGAATACTGAAAGCAGTAGGATTCTGTTAGATCCAAGCAATCCCCCTCACATCCGCAACTCATAATCGATGCACCTCCTCAATTTTCACACCTCGTTACATTTTCTATATATTTTTCTACTATCTCAACTACCTCCATACAGATGGCTAAATCTAACGACCTGGACAATGATATTGATGAGCTGCTGCAAGAATTCGAATCTCGGCGCAATAAAACTGTTCTGCATTCGGTACTTTTCTACTGACAATTGTACAACCTATAGACGGAAATCAAAATAAGGCATCGTGCGATACCATAACAACACGGGAACTTACATATGTTTTGTTGTCATAGTTTGTTTTGCTGATGCAATAGTGTTAAACGGTAACAAAAACTATCCTATAAATGTATGTAATATCACTATAAACTTAAAATTGTATGGAAAGATAAGAGAAGAAAGAGGGCAAAACAGAAAACTGTTTGCAAAACAAAAAAAGCGACATTGTGGCATACAATTTACAAAGGAGTAGATAACAAAAAAATAAATCTTTAATTAAAAGCAGTTAGTTTTGAAGATAAAAGAATATAGTGGCGAGGGAAGAACTAATGCTATGTAAAAAAATAATAACTGTAAGTTAGTGATAATAACGGGAAATTTACGGAAAGTTAAATGCTTTCAAAATATTCACCAATTAAGTTCTTCATTGCCAAAGAAAATATGACTAAAATAAATACATACAGTCAGTCAATAAAGTTTAGGTACAGCGAATTTTTTACAATACGGGCAACTATTTTTTAAATATTTTATTTGAGTATGCAGTTTTTTAGCCCATTCAATTTTAGTATAATAAAGTGCAAGTATGAGGAAGCTAGGACTTACCATTGATTTTTGGGGATTTTTTTTGTTGAAGGTGTCGCACATTTTTTCCATATAAAAAAATTATCAAACATTATTTTATATGGAGAAAATTAGCGACACCTTCAACAAAAAAAAATTCCTAAAAATCAATGGTAAGTCCTAGCCACCACAAACTTGCACTTTGTTATACTATGATGGGCTAAAAAACTGCATACCCAACTTCTTTCTAGAGTTGCGGAATTTTCTTTAATTTTGCACAAGGTTCGGAACCCTAATTTTTTGGGTTTTTGTTGTAGAATTGACCATATTTTTATAAAAAATTATCGAAAAATAAAATATTTCAAAAATAGTTTGTAAAAAATATATTGTAAAAAATTCGCTGTACCTAAACTTTATTGACTGACTGTACATATGTACATACTAGATGTATACATGCTTACATTTGTACGTATGTACATACAGTGGTGGAAAAGTAAATAGGGACTCGACATTCTAACAAATTTGTCCTAGTTTTCTTTTGTTTATTTAATATTTATTCTTTTTTTTTATAAAAGTAAAGCTCACAATCTAATAAAAACCATATAAATTAATATTTCAAACTTTGTGCACAAATTATAAAAATTCTGCAAATTGCATCTAAATTATGAACTTTTTATTTAGATTTTTTAAAATTTTTTTGAGTATGCAGTTTTGTAGGCTATTAAATTATAGTGGAATGAAGCTTTAAGTTGCTAAGAAATCGTGTTCATTTTTTGGCAATTTTTTTTTTAACGCATTTTCTTTCATACAAAGTGTGTTCGACAATTTTTTTTGTATGGAAAGAAGTGCTTAATACATTCAGAATAAAAATTATCAAAAATCAACACAATTTTTTAAGAACTTCAAGCTTACACATTGTTCTACACTTTAATGAGCTACATATAAAACTGCATACTCGAAAAAATTCTAAAAAATCGGATTAAAAAGTGGAGAATTTAGATGCAATTTTGCAAAATTTTCATAATTTTTGCACAAAGTTTGAAATATGAATTTATATAGTTTTTGTTAGATAATAAGCTATACTTAAAAAAAAATAATAATAAATATTAAGTAAACAAAAGAAAAATAGGAATAATTTGTTAAAATGTCGTGTCCCTATTTACTTTTCCACCACTGTAGGTACAAATGTATGTATATGGATATAATTTGCTTCAGTGAAATTTAGTTATATGTATGTAAGTACATACCTACTTTTATTATTTTTATTTCTCAAATTAACTAAGTATTTATACAGATATTCTTAAGGTCATTGAACTACATATACATATACATATTTGGGGGATTTACTAGACGTGTTAAGTGTCGTAATATCTTAAAGTTTAAAAATTTTTCCATTTTTTTAACTAAACCATTTTTTTTTACTGACAGAAAATATAATGAATTTTATTATGTACATGTATATATGTACATATCGTCGTTTAAAGTACAAAACCGCGTATCAAGAAAATGCAAAACCTTGTATGTGAGGTTGCCCAAATTTTATAGGAGAAAGTAAAACACGTTTTATTTAAAAACGGTTCTCTCTTTTATCCCTAATAATCTCTTCTTCTTATGTCTAAGAATTAATATTTTAGTATGAATGGATAAGGGCTTGATGCCAGGAGCTTCCGGAGAGCAAGTATCTTTTTTTGACACAAATGCCAGTTACGAGCTTTTGCAGAACCACGATACGCGGTTTTGTACTTTAAACGGCGATATGTATTAAGCGCTCTTATCATAAACAGGAAATATCCTAAAAAAATATTTAACCCTTAACAACACGGCACATAAAAAAAAAAATCGAATCTGAGGTCCGTTCACCTCCAAAATTTCGAGCAAATAACGAAAAATCGAAAAATGGCAAAAAATTCGCAACTTTCGCATTGCAATCGCAATTAAGCTATTGCACCGGCACACAAAAAAGGGGTCTGTGCATTTAACCAGACCCACCTACCGACATGTATTTCGTCCCACTGACACGTCTATTCTGCACGTTACCGATAGTTTTGTAACCGGAAAATTGTATTACCAAAAAATGTTACCACTTCTTATCACTGCGATTCTGTGAAAATTGTGATATTGCATATTTCACGGGGCATTATTTTGTTACCACCTTATGAGATGGCAACAATATAGATTATAGATAGATAGATAGATTTATTTATTTTTTTATTTTTTTTGATATTGAGTTTATTCTCTATACAGTTACGAAAGATCGAATTTTAAGTCGGGCTCGCGGCCCGTCATTTTACATAGAAACATTTTAAGACTGTAAGACATTACGACGCTTAACACGTCTTGTGAATCCTATAATTGACTGGTATAAAAAATCAGACGATGTTTTACAGTCTTCTTTAGTAAAAACTATAGTAAAAAATAGCGAAGAAATGGAAGAAAATTCTATAAAAGAGCAGATTCTCTAACTCTTATATTATCGGCATTTTTCGAAAAATTCATTGAACTAAAAAGACAAAATTAAATCTAAGTATAGATGTACATAAATATGTATATAGAAAATTAAAATAAAATCAAAAAAATTTTGAAAAATTAAATTAGTACATATACATAGTATATACATACATACAAATGTATGAGCGATTCCAGCGAAAAGTCTACCGCGAAAAAAAAATTAAAGGTCCTATATCTAATGGCGTTTTATTTCTCGAAAAAAATGTCACCTTCGTGTATGGCAACATTATCAGAGTGCAGCATTTTAAAGAAAGAGCACGCAATATACATGTGAAGATGCTGAGAAAAGAAGACGAAAACTTGTTAGCCCTGGCGCAGGGCAGAAAAAATGCAACATTATTTCGAGAAAAGAAAACGCTATAACCGATTTGCGAAAAATGGGATTGCTGGTGGCGCTGATGTCAAAATAAAAAGTATATTCGACATAAAATGCATGTTTTCTTCCCGTTAAAAATTCGTTCAAAAACAATATTACAAAACTTTTTCAATGGAAATTTTATTAACGTAACGTCACGCTAGATATTTCAGTCGATTAAACAAAAAGCGGAAAGGATTTTTACATTTAAGAACTTGTGAAAATTAACTTTAAACATTTAAAATATTTCTACAAAAACTTTTATACAAATAGTCTTGCGCAATTCGCAATGTTTTGCAATTTTGTAACCCAAGTCAAAATCCACTTCCGTTTTTTGTAACGTCACGTCAGCGCGTAAGTTTACTAATATTTGTAAATGGTTACTTAAACCAACAGTTGTATTTTTTTACCGAATAAACATACATACATATCTACACTGCCGGCAAAAAGTATTGGCACAGGAAATTTTTCACATCATATGCATAAATTTTTTTCTAATATTTCTACAAACAACAAATTTATTATTCCTAAACATTGTTCAAAACTCCCGAAAGTTCAGCAAATTTTCAACTTTTTATTTAGATTTTCTAGAATTTTTTGAGTATGCAGTTTTGCAGTCCATTAAATTATAGTAAAAAACTGCAAGTTCTGAGTTAGTCAAAAATCGCTTTGATTTTTGAGATTTTTTTTTAAGTGTTTGCTGTTTTTCCATATAAAGTATTTTCGAAGAGACTGCGTGAAAAAAACAAATTCACCCTCATTGCGAGAGTCGTGTCGAATGCCAGTCGTTTTTCGAGAGTCGAATCGTATCGAAAATTTAGCGTCATTGCCTAAAATTTCCACTCGACTAGTGTATTAAAACGGAAGAACTTGGCAGCACTGCATAGTTTTCGACAATTTTCGTCATTTACTTATTTCAGTACGACAGTAGACAATGCTAATGTTGTCGAGTCGTACAATTCAGCCTAATTTACGACTTACGCAATGAGGCTGATTGCCAAA